AGAAGGCAGTTTCTGTTTGCCCTGAAAGCCACCACTCCCTTATCCACCTCAAAGGTCAGCTGCCTCATACAAGGGCATTTATCACACACCCCCAACAGTCCACAAGAATCAAAGCTAGCCATTGTAAAAGCCCTTCCCTTGTGACATTCAGGGCACAGATAAGTGTATGTTTTCAATCTCGTCTCTATCACATGAGCCCAGCATCCCTTTATAAGATGACAAAAGTCCAAATTTGCTGAACTGGAAGGTTGCAGGGGACAGGGGTTGCTAGATGGTTACCAATGAGCAAAGACTATAAACAAGGGAAGGGGGGAGTGGTAAACAATTGGGTGACTGTTGTACTTGACAGTTTCAGCACACTTGCCATGTTCCCTCCAAGGTAAGTTTAAAAACACAGTTCAGCAGATTCAGCACCTAAAGTTATCCACCACACAAATACAATAGGGCTTTCATTGTAGGTATGATCAAGCGCTACATATTGAAATACAAAGGACAAATAGTTTTTGCTTTTCCTCTTGTCTTATTATTCAGTAAGAAAATAAAAATATGAATAATAATAAAAAAGCAGCATACAGTGCCAGACAGGCACATGAGTTCATGCCTATAATGGCAGCAGTTTGGGAGCCTGAGGCAGGAGGACCACGAGTTAGAGGCCAGATTGGAATACATGGGAAAATTCTGTATTTAATTTTTTAAATCAAAATCTAGTGAAAGAACAATATACAACTGCTTGTGCATTATATTATAATTCCAAAATACCTACTCCAAAATTGATAGGAAACAGAACATACTTTCATTGGCTCCATGACAGAGTGTTATAGATTTGTTTCACTGGAAAACAATGTTTACATTGAAAACTATTACTATTGTCATAATATTTAAGTTGATTTAATGATGATTTTCTTTAACTCCAAGCAATGCCTTAGTTTCTGGACCCTTCTGGAGAGAAGATTTTCCTCTTTGAATTCTTTTACAATTGTTGCCCGTGATATCATTTTTCATACAAAATTTTAATGACTCAGTTCTTGCCCCTCCCTCTACCTTCCTTGCCTCCTCACTATACAGACTTTGCCTTCCTGGAGGACAGAAGCTGTACTTTTATTCATTCGAGGCCCTCCTCCTCAAATGGCTTAGTGTCTTGTTGCCCTTCTGCCCCTATCCCGTTCTTCCCAGCCATACCTAGGGACTCCTAAACTCCATGACCTAGAAAGCCACAATTTGCCTCTCCCTGATCCTACCATCCTAAGAAATTCAGACCCTCTCCTGAGTACATAGAATTCTCATAGAAACGGCTGGGCTATTCCTCCTCCATAATTCCCTCCTTTAAAAGCCTTTATGGGCCCCAGAACAGCCACTGAAACACCAGCTCTGTAAATCAGTCAGCCAGAGATGTGTAGATGGAAGCTACACACCAACAGGGCTGCAATTCAGTTCTGCTCTGTTCTTCCCAGAAGCAAGAGACGCATAGAGTTTCCATGCAGGGAGAGGAGCAGCAAGATAAAGCCTGGAAAAAAGAAAAACAGGATCTGGAAGATGAAATATCCTACTGTGTCTAAGTGGATGCCAATTGTATGATTTAGGATAAAAATGTGGTGGAAGTGAACCTGAGGTTTCAAATGATGGACCTGAATTTCACAGAACTTCCTGGAACACTTGTTGCTCAGCAAGTAGATGGAGGACACTAATAAAGGTATTTCTTGCCCTATACCCAATGTGTCCTCCCCTTTGGGACTTATAAATCTTGGGATCAGTGGACATGCCAATATAGGCCTTAATCCCAGCATGGGGAGTCAGAGGTAGGTGGATCTCAGTGAGTTTGAGGCCAGTTAAACCTATTAAGACACTGTCTAAAACCCTGTCAAAGCTGACAAATGTAAGTGGAAAAAAATAGATGAACTTTGCCCTAAATACTTCCTAATTAGAAATAATAGGACTGTGAGGAAGCAGAGACAAAGTCAGGAGATACTTGGACAAAAAGGGATCACACAATTTTTCCATTGTCCATTTATTAAGAAAATGATAGAAATCACTTCTGCCAAAGTTGATCAATTAGATACAACACTTGCACACATTAAAAAAATTAAATCAGGTCATATGACAGAAAATTAGAGTGGTTTGAAGGAAAATGGCCCCCATTGGCTCATATATTGAATACTTGGACTCCAGTTATTGGACCTGCTTGAGAAGGATTCGGAGGTATGGCCTTGTTAGAGGAAGCATGTCATTAGGGATTTCAAAATCCCATGCTATTCCCAGTTAGCTCCCTCCCTCTCTCCTTCCCTGCCTCCCTTGCTCCCTCTCTCTCCAGTTCAGTGCTTGCAGATCAGATGTAAACTCACAGCTAGTGCTGTATCACCATGCTTGCCTATCTACTGCCATGATACCCACCACGATAGCCATGGACTCACTCTCTGCAACTGCAAGAAAACCTCAAACTAAATCCTTTATTTTATTAGTTGTCTTGGTCAGGGTGTCTCTTCATAGGTTTAGAAAAGTAACCAAGGCAACAAGGAAGAAAGCTGTGTTCACAACATTTGTAGATGTGCGCTCTAGCCTCAATCTAAAAACCTGCTTTCAATGTTGCTTCATTTTATTATTATTTTTTTAATTTTATCACTTCATGTCCTTATGTGAGCTTCTTGGATTTGTGTGAAAACTTAATGATATAGCAAAGGTCCATTTGTAGTGTTGAACACTGGGAAGAGTTGGCCTGGACAACTCTTGCCGTTTGTGCAGATACTTTATCAGTCTACAATTCTTATTTTGACACTGTGCAATTCTACTTCTACTGCCACAACCCCTTCAGGGCATCTTCACAACATTATGTTATTAATACCTTGAAACATTTTTTTCTCCTACCACCTTGCCCCTGTAATTTCTTAAAAAGCTTCTGGCTTCTTCCTCAATGTTCACTGAATTAATGCACTCTGAAAGCAATGCCAGAGCCAGAGGACAGAAGCAATTAACAAAAAACATGCTGAAGTACAAGAGACTAGAGTGGAGGGAATTTCATCATATTACATGACTGGATATTATGCATATTGCAGGATTAATGTGTTTCTGAAATGCTTCTATGCCCAAAGATTTCATATAACAGAATTTCTAATGCAACAATGTACTTTTCTCTAATAAGATAATGTAATACATTTTGGAGAATAAAGAGTAGATATTTTGCTTTCATATTTCATTCCTGTCTTTTATGTCAAATATAAAGAAGGACACCTTGGTGAGAGTGGGTCAAACCTAGCATTGTTCTGTCCATTCTCTGATATGTTCTCAAGAAGCCTTACTTGTTCGCTATAAATCATCTCTCACTCATCATTCAACCTAGTTCCACAACATCCAGGAATCTTTCCCTGAATTCTAGCCTTACTCCCTTTTGTAGATTTGTTTTATTTCTTGTTCCTATGGCTTAGGGGCAGGAACTCCCTGTGATAGGCAAAGAGAAGCAAGAGAAAGACCACTCTGATTGGAACTTTCAGAGAAACATTTATCTTAATGTTAATCTGATAACACGTGTCACGGCTACTAAAGAGAGTTCACTGTCACAATCAGCAAATTACAGAAGCAAGAAGCAAAATGTCAAGAATATGATTACTGGTCACAGAATGGGATTTAGATCCTATCTCTGACTCTGATGGACACTTGACTTTCTAAACTACCTATAGGGACAATAAGGTTACTACCTAGCATGAGGCTTTCTGACAAAGATAAAACAGTTCACTGTCTCCCTTCCTCAAGAGGTCATCCAAATGGCCCTGCAAATCACTGGAGGAGAAAAATTCTCAATTCCAGGCATTATAATGGCTATCATAAAATTTACCTAAAGATGCAGGTAGGTGCATAGTCCTTTGGCTACTGTGAACAATCACCACGTGAGAACATTTTACTCCACAGTGGTCTCTTTAGTCATTGCCCACTGTCACAATTGAGAGCATCTCCTATTATGCTATAACAAACTCTGCCCGTTTCCTCTGTTATGTTGTGTGTATTTCTTCAGAATTCATTCAACAGAGATCATAAGGACCAAGAAGCTATGGGAGACCTGTGTGAGTACTTAGAGTAAGTAACCTAGATATTTGAAAGCCATCCCCCCCTCTCTGGTGTATGTGTGTGTGTGTGTGTGTGTGTGTGTGTGTGTGTCTGTCTGTCTGTCTGTCTGTCTGTCTGTCTGTTCGGCTGAAGAGGGATGGAAAAAGGGGGGGCAGAGAGAGATCATTTTCTTTTAAATCGGCTAACATGATCACAGAGACTGAGGACTCCCACAATCTTCCATCTGCAAGATTGTTTAAGGTCAGTCCCAGCTCAAGAGAACAGTGTCCACTCTCTGTAGTCTGGAAGACAGAGAATTCTCCCTTCTGTCTTTTGTTCTTTTGGATGCTCAAGGAATTGGATGGCGCCTGCCATATTGTAGAAGATAATGGAATTTAGTCCAGAAACATCCTCATAGACACACCCAGAAATATTGCTTAACCAAATATCTAGTCACCCTGTAAGTCAGTTAACACATTATATAAAATTAATCACCACAGCCATTATTTCCAAATTATAAATCATGCCACACAGTGTTTTATCATATATGAAGTTTTAAAATGAATTTTTCAATTTCTCCCCAGATAGGCAAAAAATAGGAGTGGTGTGTAACTTATTAGAATTCACAAATATGTGACCACTACCTAGAGAAGAAAAAAGTATCCCTAAAACATCCTTAATCAGGAGGATAACTCAACTGCTATCTTCTAAGAATATTCAGATGAGCCTGAGAGGAGTATTGTCCTTTAGCTGACCCTTCCCTTGTCACCACTAAATTCCTCTTGTTCAGCCCCATATTGGAACATATTTCATGCTAATAATCATTACATTTCCAAAATCATTCTGAACTACAGAAACCAGAACAATAAGCCTCTTGGTTATTACCAGAGAACATTTCAGTTCCTGCATTCATCAGCTTTCTGTTCATGTTTCAAAGATATAAGAATTTTTTAATTAATAGTAAGAGGTTTAGTATGACTCATGTTTATTAGATTTTTCAGTAGATGATCAGGCGGTCCTTTTTTTCTGGGCCACATGATAAAGCAGCAGACTGATGAAACAAGAACACTCGACTCAGGTCTATAAAGCAAAAGAGAGGAGGGACTTAATCAGGAGGTTCTTCAAGTGTACACACCCACACTCCAGAGGCCCTCCTGCTGGGTAGGTCACATTTGGATCCCCCATGAGATATTTGTCTTTTTGAATCTGACTAATTTTGCTTAACATAAAGAGTTTCAGTTACATCCATTTACCTGGGCATGCCATAATCTCAGTTTTGATATGGTTGCATAAAATCCTATTATGTACATACACTGTACATTTCTTATTAATTCATTTGTTGATGCCCATCTTGGCTAGTCCCATTTCTTGGATTTTGTGAATATCAGAGTTAGAAGTATGAATCTGCAAGAATCTCTATGGTATGTTGACTTGGAGTCCTTTAGGGAATATGCTTTAGTGTGTTAATATCTGGGCCACATGGTAGTTCTATTTCTGGTTTATTGAAGAACCTCTATACTGATTTCTATAGGGGCAACACAAGTTTCTATTACCACTAGCAATTACACTTTGCCACCAGTCATTGCTATTTTATTATTATTGTTGTTATTATTATTATTATTAGTAGTAGTAGTAGTAGTAGTAGTAGTATTGAGACAGGGTCTCACTATAAAGTCTTGACTGGCCTAGAATTTCTCTAGGTAGGCCAGGCTGCTGTCAAACTCAAAAAGTTATTTCCTGTGTGACACCATGCCTGCTGTCATTCATTTCCTTCATGATAGGCCTTCTGATAGCATCCCTTATTTATAAGAGAAATATTGGAGGAATCCTAATACATGGTCTCAAATTGTATTCAAGAGTCATTGTAAAAAAAACCAGCATGGTCCCCTGTACAAATAATGATATAGGACCCTAAAATAAACCCATACAATTATAATTATAATTTTGGCAAAGTTGTCAAAAATACTGGAGAAAAGACAGTGACTTTAACAAATCATTCCAGGAGCACTGGGTTTGTGCAACAATAATGAGAGATACTAGATTCATAACTCTCATCCTGCACCCAAATCTATTCAAAATGAGCAACAGACCTGAGTATGAGAATTGAAATTTTGAAGCTGTCATGTTGTATTGCAAAGAAGTCATAAACTAGTCCAGAAACAGAGGGTGGAGAAATCCTCTCCCTCTTGTCTGGAACCTCTGTACACTCATAACATCAAGGTGACATATAAAGTGAAGAGAAACTTAATGTTTACTATCAGCATGGCTGGATTTAGAATCCCTGTGAAAACACACCTCTGGGCATGACCATGGGGGTGTTCTCAAAAGGGTCTAACCAAATAAGAAAGGTTTTTCTCTGAAGTTAGGCAGCAGCATTCCATGAGCTGGGGAAGCAGTTCACAACCTGACAGTTGTAACACCTTTGGGGTCACATATCAGATATCCTGCATATCAGATATTTACATTATGATTCATAACAGAAAATTACAGTTCTCAAGCAGCAACAAAATAGTTTTGTAGTTGGGGTCACCACAGCATAAGGAACTATATTAAAGGGTTACAGTGTCAGGAAGATTGACAACCATTGGATTCAGGTCTCAGAGTAAAGAAAAAGGAGAAAGTGAGCTGAGAGTAAACATTTATCTCTCTGCTTCCTGCTTACAGGTACTACCTCATGTGTCTACCACCATGCATTTTCCATCATGATATACTTACTCTCCAACCGTGAGCCAAAAGAAACCCTGCCATTCTTAAGTTGTGTTTGTGAAGCATTTTTGTTGCAGTAATGAAAAAAGTAACTGATCTGGGGATGGTAGGTATTGTGGGAGAATTGTTTGCACTGTTACTCTGCTGTGCTGATAAAGTTACCTTAAATCGAGGAAAGAGATCAGCCCCTCCAAGACCCCAACCCAGCGAGCCCAGCTTCAGGTGAGATTGGGTCTCCAGCGGGGGACCGCGCGCCCATGACCCATCCCCCTCCATCTTTGGGGCCACTCCTGGCTTTCAGAAGAGCCGCCCACACAGGAAAGAGATCAGCCCCTCCAAGACCCCAACCCAGCGAGCCCAGCTTCAGGTGAGATTGGGTCCCCGGCTGGGACCACCCGCCCATCACCCATCCCCCTCCATCTTCGGGGCCGCTCCCGGCTTCCAGAAGAACCGCCCACACAGGCCCCTCCAAGACCCCAACCCAGCCAGCCCAGCTTCAGGTGAGATTGGGTCTCTGGCTGGGACCAACCGCCCATCACCCATCCCCCTCCATCTTTGGGGCCGCTCCCGGCTTCCAGAAGAGCCGCCCACACAGGAAAGAGATCAGCCCCTCCAAGACCGCAACCCAGCGAGCCCAGCTTCAGGAAAGACATCAACCCCTCCAAGACCCAACCCCAGGGAGTCCAGCTTCAGGAAAGAGATCAGCCCCTCCAAGACTCCAACCCCAGCGAGTCCAGCTTCAGCATCTCCAGCTTCAGCTGCAGTAAGGAAGGAGACCAGAGGAGACAGAAAGACCCCACCAGCACCCACTGGAAGAAGAGATGGGAAGAAGACAGAATAAGAGATCACTCAGCAATAGAAACACCAACATGACCCCACCAGAATCCAGGGATCCAACACCAGCAAGACCCGAAAAGCACTACATAGATGAACAAGAGGAGACAGACCTTAAAAATTATCTCATGAAGATGATGGAGACCCTCAAAGAAGAAACAAGGAAATCCCTTAAAGAAATAGAAGAAAAAACAAACAAAAAAATCCATGAAATGGGGGAAAAATTCAAGAAATAAACAAATCTCTCGAAGAATCTAAAGAGCACCAAGAAAAAACAACCAAGAAAATTAAGGAAACAGATCAAACAGTTGAAGGATTGAAAGCTGAAATAGAAACGATAAAGAAAACACAGAATGAAGGGATGCTGGAAATAGAAAAGCTCGGTAAACGGTCTGGAACTACAGATGCAAGTATCACCAATAGAATACAAGAGATAGAAGAGAGAATCTCAGGTGTTGAAGACTCATTAGAGGATATAGAGTCGTCAACCAAAGAAAATCTCAAAGCCAACAAATCCTTAACACAAAATATCCAGGAAATATGGGACACCGTGAAGAAGCCAAACCTGAGAATAATAGGTATAGAAGAAGGTGAGGAACTTCAACTTAAAGGTAGAGAAAACATATTCAACAAAATCATAGAAGAAAACTTCCCTAACCTAAAGAAAGATATGCCTATGAAAGTACAAGAATCTTACAGAACACCAAATAGGCTTGACCAGAAAAAGAAGGCACCTCGCCATATAATAATCAAAACATCAAACCTACAGAGTAAAGAGAAAATATTAAGAGCAGCTAAAGAAAAAGGCCAAGTAACATACAAAGGCAGACCTATCTGAATTACACCTGACTTCTCAATGGAAATGATGAAAGCCAGAAGATCCTGGTCAGATGTCCTACAAACGCTAAGGGAACAAGCATGCCAGCCCAGACTACTATATCCAGCAAAGCTCTCAATTACCATAGATGGAGAAAACAAAATATTCCATGACAAAGCCAGATTTAAACAATACGTATCCATGAATCCAGCTCTACAGAAAATGCTAGAAGGAAAACCTAGAGCCAAGGAAGATAACTACATTCACAAAGACACAGGCAATATATAATCATACTTTACAAAACACCAAAAGAAAAAGGGAGGAGAAACTACACAAAATAACTTCACTAACAATAAATCAAGCGCAAACAAGGATCACCAATCAATGGTCATTAATATCCCTCAATGTCAACGGCCTCAACTTGCCTATAAAAAGACACAGACTAGCAGAATGGATACGAAGACAGAACCCTTCCTTCTGCTGCATACAAGAAACACATCTCAACACCAAAGACAGACGTTATCTCAGAGTAAAGGGCTGGGAAAAGATCTTCCAATCAAACGGCCCCAAGAAACAAGCGGGCGTAGCAATCCTAATATCTAACAAATTAGACTTCAAATTAAAATCAATCAAAAGAGATGAAGAAGGGCACTTCATATTCATCAAAGGAAAAATACATCAAGACGAAGTCTCGATTTTAAACATCTATGCCCCAAATACAAAGGCACCTACATTTGTGAAAGAAACATTATTAAAGCTCAAAATGCACATAAAATCTCACACACTAATAGTAGGAGACTTCAACACTCCGCTCTCACCGTTAGACAGGACCTCCAGACAGAAACTTAACAAAGAAACAAAAGAATTAATAGAAGTTATGACACAACTGGGTTTAACAGACATCTATAGAACACTCCAACCAAATACAAAGGGATATACCTTCTTCTCGGCACCACATGGAACCTTCTCTAAAATTGACCACATAATAGGAAACATAGCAAATCTCCACAGATACAAAAAAATTGGAATAACCCCCTGCATCTTATCAGACCACCATGCATTAACATTAGAATTCAACAATAACACAAATCGCAGAAACCCTACAAACTCATGGAGATTGAACAATGCACAATTGCACCATCCCTGGGTAAAGGAACAAATAAAAATAGAAATTAAAGACTTCCTCGATTTCAATGAGAATGAAGACACAACATACACAAACTTATGGGACACTTTGAAAGCAGTGCTGAGAGGAAAGTTTATAGCACTAAGTGCCCACATGAAAAAACTGGAAAACAGTCATACTAGAGAATTAATAGCACAGCTGAATGTTCTAGAACAAAAGAAGCAAACTCCCCAGGAGGAGCAGACGCCAGGAAATAATCAAATTGAGGGCTGAAATCAATCAAGTAGAAACCAGGAAAACACTGAGAAGAATCAATGAAACAAAGAGTTGGTTCTTCGAGAAAATCAACAAAATAGACAAACCTCTGTCCAAACTAACCAAAAGACAGAGAGAGAACATGCTAATTAACAAAATCAGGGATGAAAAAGGGGGCATAACAACGGACTCTGAGGAAATCAAGAGAATCATCAGGGCATATTTTGAAAATCTGTACTCCACAAAATTTGAAAATTTAAAGGAAATGGACAATTTCCTGGATAGATATCACTTGCCAAAACTAAATCAAGAACAGATAAATAATCTAAACAGACCTATAAC